TCTCCACGCCTACCAGAAGCTATGCAGCAGCTCTCTTCTGCTATTACACATTGCCGTTTCGAAGCTACCGACTCTGCAGCAGACGAAATCGTCTTGCTCCGCATCCTCAGGTTAATGGAAGTCATGATATCGGGCCGTGGGGGAGAGGTACTCGGCGACGAGAGCGTATGCGAGATGATGGAAACCGGCTTGAGCATGTGCTGTCAGGCACGACTCTCCGAGGTGCTGCGACGATCCGCCGAGGTGGCCATGGTTTCCATGTGTCAGGTTATATTCAGGAGATTGAAGACCCTCGAGGTTGAGTCGCCAGATGAACTGCAGGCCATGGACGAAGAGCTCGAAGGCAAAGACGAGCAGGATGGCCTACGGATGGATCCAACAGCAGATGGCGGAGGCGATGCTGCACAGCACAAGGTTGAAGCACTACAGCTTTCGAGCGACCCTGAAAAGGGTCAAGAAGATAACGAAAGTACCGCAAACCCAGCAAGTAGTACTCTCGATCTTCCTGCCACAGCTGCAGACGGAGAGTCTAAGTCTGCTGTCGAGATCAAGCCATACTCGTTGCCATCTATAAGAGAACTGTTTCGAGTACTGGTCGATCTACTGGACCCGCACGACCGACAGCATACCGATACCATGCGTGTCATGGCGTTGCGCATTGTCGATGTTGCACTCGAAGTGGCTGGACCCTCAATCGCAAGTCATCCTAGTCTTGCAAACTTGGCCAAGGATACCCTGTGTCGGCACATTTTCCAACTGGTCAGGTCGGACAACATGGCGATTCTGAACGAGTCATTGCGAGTTGCTGGCACCTTGTTGGCAACATGTAGGAATGTGCTCAAGCTGCAACAAGAGCTTTACCTCTCTTACCTAGTGGCTTGTCTCTTTCCAAGGGTGGAGATACCAGTAGAGCCTGGTATTGAACCTTCATTATACGAAGGTGTTCCACAAGCGCCGAGTCTCATAAAGCAACCGCCACAACAAAACAGCACCAGTGGCCGTTCGACCCCAGTACCTGTTAAAGATCGACAAAAGCTGGGTTTGGAGGGAGGCGTCCGAAAACCCGATGCCCGAGAAGCCATGGTGGAAAACCTGGGCGGCTTAGTTCGGATATCGTCATACATGGCAGAGCTGTTTGTCAACTATGATTGCGAGATTGACCGTGGTGATGTCTGTATGGACATTGTGGGACTTCTCTCGCGGAACGCCTTCCCAGACTCCGCAACCTGGAGTACTGTCAATGTACCACCTCTCTGCTTAGATGCACTCCTCGGTTTTGTGCAATCCATGGCCGATCGTTTGGACGACGAGCCAGTGACTGAAGGTTATCCTAGTGTCGAATCGCTTCGTGAGCAGCGAGCACGCAAGGCCGTCATCATTAAGGGTGCAACCAAGTTCAACGAGAAGCCCAAAGCTGGCATCGCGTACCTAGCGTCACAAGGCGTTATATCCGACCCTGATGATCCCAAATGCATTGCTGAATTCGTCAAAGGCACAACGAGAGTTGATAAGAAAGTTCTCGGAGAGTTCATATCGAAAAAAGGAAATGAAGCGATACTTAGCGCCTTTATCGACTTGTTCGACTTCACTGGGCAGCGCATTGACGAAGCGCTCCGCCAACTTCTACACGCTTTCCGTCTTCCTGGAGAATCTGCACTGATTGAAAGAATTCTCACAGAGTTCTCTGAAAAATACTTCAAAATGGCGAAACCTGAAGGTATTGTCAACGGCGACGCTATCTACATTCTCACATACGCAGTCATCATGTTGAATACCGACCAGCATAATCCCAACATGAAGCAAAAGCGAATGCAACTGGAAGACTTTAGGAGAAACGTACGGGGTGTCAATGACGGAAAGGACTTTGACGCAGATTTCTTGGAGAAAATCTATGAGTCTATCAAGAACCGTGAAATCATCCTGCCTGAGGAGCATAGCGACCGAAACGCCTACGAGCATGCATGGAAAGAGCTGCTCGTCAAGTGCCAGTCAACATCAGATATTGTCATCTGTGAAACCAACATTTTCGATGCAGACATGTTTGCTGCTACTTGGAAACCCATTGTAGCAACACTGGCATATGTCTTCATGTCCGCTACCGACGACGCGGTTTTCTCACGTGTTGTGCAAGGCTTTGACCAATGCGCTCAGATTGCAGCGAAATACGGGCTTACTGATGCTCTGGACCGCATCATCTCGTGCCTTTCATACATAAGCACATTGGCGCCTGATGTGCCCCCGAGCACTTCATTGAACACTGAGGTTCAGGCCGACAAGAAGAGTGTCATGGTCAGCGAGACTGCTGTCCGCTTTGGTCGCGATGCCCGAGCGCAATTAGCAACTGTCGTGCTGTTCCAGGTCATCAAAGGCAATGAAGCATCGATAAGAGGAGGATGGGAACATGTAAGTCTCATGTTTGTGCAATCAGGATGTCGCTAACATCGATAGCTCATTCGCATCATGGTCAACCTCTTCGTCAACTCGTTGATACCACCTTACTTCCTTTCCTTCCAGAAAACCCTTGCCTTAGCACCGATACCCCTCCAGAACCCAGCCCAAGTCATTGACCGTGCTGAGCGTCCCGCCGATACTGGAATATTCTCAGCTTTGACGTCTTATGTTTCCAGCTTCGCTAATGATGAGCCGCCAGAGCCATCGGACCAGGAGATAGAATACACACTTTGCACTGTAGATACGGTGAAGGAGTGCCACTTCGAAGACATCCTTGCAAACATTAGTCAGCTACCCATAGATTCTCTCAGGTCGCTACTTGATTCATTACTTCGGCACCTGCCCGAAGATGGGTCGCCAACCGTCATTGTGGTGAAGCCTGAAATTCCAGGTGCAAGTCCACGAACACCTGGTCCTCGGCAGAAAGGCAAGGGTCCCCTTTATGACCCCAGCTTGGTCTTTGTTCTTGAGCTGGCCACTGTATTGGCCCTACGTGACGAAGAGACTGTCAGAGACCTTGCAAAGGATGTGATCGATGCGCTGGCATCGGTTATTCGAGATGCTACTAAGCATCATTATGTGGTAGTCGCCCGGTCATCATACTATCTCCTGAGCCTGCTCAAGGCTAGCAATGTGAGTATCAACACGCAAGATATTCTGAGTCTTCTAATATGATTAGGACTATGACTTCATTCGGGCGCCAGTTCTCATGCACACTTTCTCAAGCTTCAACGATTCACTGCTGCAGGAGTGTGCACAACCAATCCTCAAGGGCTTGAGCGATTGCTGCAAGGGGCCCAATGCGCTTCGCAGTGAGCTTGCAGGCTCACCAGACTTCTGGACCATTCTTAACAGGTTAGCTAATGTACCTGATGCCGCTGGAGATGTCTTTTTGCTTGTAGAGGACCTAGCTACATCGCCACAGCCAGGCATTACTGCAGACAACTATGAAGCTGCAATTGCGCTCCTCAATGAGTTTGCAACTGCTGCTCAAGTGGGCGCACGGGAGGAGCAGCTGTATGACCAAGCAGTGCGGCGCAACAAGGGACAAAAGCTCAAAAAGCCGGAGAACAGTGAGATTGTTGTACGAGGCAGTACTGCTATGAGCATCGTCTTCCAGTTGTCCAGTCGAGTACCAAACTTTATCGAGCAATCTCATCTCGAGACTACTAAAGGTAAATTGATGGATTGAAATTTACACATACGGATGCTAACAACGTTGCAGCATGGACAGCATACTGGTCTCCTATTCTGAAGACGCTCGCGCACCAATGTCTGAACCCTTGTCGTTCCATCCGCCAACAAGCTTTTGTCTCGCTCCAGCGCACTCTCCTGTCCGCTGATCTTGCCTCTCCTGACCACAAGGAATGGACTTCCATCTTCAGCGAAGTGCTCATCCCGCTCATCACTCAACTCCTTAAACCAGAAGTGTACCAATCCGATCCTCTCGGTATGAGCGAAACGCGCGTCCGTGCAGCCACCCTTCTCAGCAAAGTTTTCCTACACTACCTGGTCCTCCTGGACGGCCTAGGCGAGAAAGGAGAAAAAGGTCTGTTTGAGGAACTTTGGATCACCATTGTCAGCATCATGGACCGCCTAGGCAACAGCGGTCAAGGTGACATGGAAGAAGCTGTAGCCGAGAACCTCAAGAACATGCTCCTTGTTCTAAGCAGTGGAGGCTACCTTGCTCCGCCTGACGAAAACCCAGACCGCGAGGAACTCTGGCATGAGACGTGGAAACGCATCAATCGCTTCCAGCCGAACTTCTTCGCTGAGCTGTTCCCTGAAGAGGCTGGTAAGCCGGCGCGCCCAAGGCCAAGTAAGGATGAGAGGGCTGCTGCGAAGAGTCCTGTGCCCCCGGCCGAGAAACGGGAGGTAGATGCTGCGATTGGGACGAAGGATGATGGAGAGAAGAATGGGGCTAGTGAGGAGACTGACGAAGATGATGAAGACGATGAAGAGGAAGAGGCCGAGCAGAAGAAGAAGGCTGAGGGGAAAGATGATTAGACATTTTGTTTCTCTCTCAAATAGTTGGTACTGGGGGTGTTGCTAGAGTAGATGATTCCATGTTACGAGTTGTGTAGTACTAGACGGCTTGTTGATGTTACTGGAGAAGTATGTAATTGATACGCACGGCACATTATCCTCTCTGCAAAACCTGCCCCCCCTTTTTTTTCTCCCTTCGAACAACTACCTGATCCTTCCACGACTTTGAAGCCTTGCATGTTAACCAGGATCAATGAATGAAAGAAAAAAAGAAGAAAAAAAAGGGGCTAAATGTTGTCGAATCTTTTATTTCTCGCACAAATATATACGTATTCTGAAAATTTCTCTCAACCCCCAGCTTGTCTACAAGCTTACGTACTGCCGTGTTCCATGTTTGATATCCCGTGTTCTACCTTGTCACCTTCATATGCTTAGTTCATGCGACCGGGAAACCCCCTTTTAGCGGGGTGAACGACTATTGTGGCTGGTGCTGCTACTGCAGGAGTCTCTGCTGCGGGCGCTTCTGGCGCTGGTGCCTCTGCCGCTGGTGCCTCTGCCGCTGGTGCTTCTGGAGCGGGAGACTCAGCGGGAGCTTCAGCAGCAGGTGCCTCAGCAGCGGGTGGTGCCTCAGCAGGAGGTGGACCACCAGCGCCCTCCTCCTCAGGGGGAGCAGGTACAAAACTGCACATAAAAAATCAGTTCAAGCTCAGAAATATATTCTATGGGTGATAGTGTTCCACTTACGCAGCAGCCTCCAAAGCCAACTTGCCCGGCGTTCCACCCACAACATCCGTACCATCAACACTGGCACTGCTCTGCTGGCTCTTCTTTGTGTACTCAGCCAACTGCGTCGCATTAGACGGGTTAATCATCATAACCTGACCGAGCTGGCAATGCGGGCCCGTTGCACAGTACAAGAACATGGGCTCAGTGCTTGTAATGGGCATATTGAAAGTTCCGACTTCGGTTTGCCCATCCTCAAAGGGAATGTGGCCGCTGTGTATACCACCATCCATGGGCGTGCATGCGGTATCAGCGGTGGACTGGGTGACGGTGTGGTTGCCGTTTGAGAATTGGAATTGCACAATGTCGCCCACAGCGGCAGTGATGGAATTGGGGACAAATGTGTCTTGGGGACCGCCAACAACGACGGGAATTATCTGGCTAGCGCGGCGGAGAGGGTTTCCTTGGTGGAGTGTTAGGAAATGAGAATCTCAATTGGAACAGGAAAGTATGAAGACGTACTCTTGATAGCTGGCAGTTTGCCAGCCGTCCTGAACGATGCGCCAGGAAGCGCAGCCGCTGTGGCAGCAAAGACCAGAGACAGTACGAAGCCCTTCATTTTGTATTGAATACTCAAATAAAACTCGGATGCTTTACAAATATGTGTATCGAGGGTATCGAAATCGGACCGCAAAAAAAACCGTTCAACGGTTAGTCCTCAAATCAGGCAAGAGAGATGGTAAAAAAGTAAGGTATTATATAGCGACCGTTTCTACGACTAGCGCAGGTCAAACAAGAAGAAAAGAGTGATGCGAAGAGAAAAAGGTGCGAAGAAGACTGGCAACAAAGAGACAACAAAAACGAGGCTGACAAGACTATTTGCCTGATATATGTATATACACCAACCTCCACTTTCCTTCGCCCCGTTTCTCTTCGTCCACATTCGCCTGAATCAGCCGCGCAACCTCTCTTTCCCACACACGAATCTCCATCCTCACCTCCTGCCAAACCCGCATCTCAAACACGCAAAGAGAAAAAGTGGCCTGAGGGTAGGCGTCCAAGTTGAGCCCAACTGCCTTATGAGACTCACCAGTGTGGGTACCCAAGCCGCCGCAACTGTTGCACCCACTCCTAAACGAAGTTCGCCAAGTTCAAGGACAGGAATTACTAATTGGGTTTTTTGGCCTTTCTGCCAATTGCCCTCATAGGACATATCGGAATGCCATCACGGCATATGTTGAGTCGTTTGAGGATAAGTGGGGGCCAAGCGGGTAGCTTGCACGTTTGGAAACCGTAACTGCATTACCAGGCGCGGCGACAAGGGCTTGGGAGGGGTCCCACCAAGACTGCAAACCGGGGCGGATTCGGCCGAGGGAGGTTCTGTTGGGAAATATTTATCTGAACATGTTTCCAGGCACGTGTAGTGTTGAATCGAAAAAGGAGGCGCTGACTCGTGCGGATGGATAGTATATTTGAGTGAGACTGCTTCAGTAGTTTCTTCAAGCAAGAATTTGTGGCATTGGTTAACTTGGAAGTTCAAGTTCAGATCGTAGATGCCATATATTCCACTTGCAAGCAAAAAGGAGTACCGTGTTGGCGCATACATTTAAGTGATGATAATTGTGGATTGCATTGCCGTGCTGTCCCAGACCAGACTTGAGTTTGCGCCCAGGAGGCATCTCCAAGCGAACGTTTTGGGTCGGCACGTGCATCCGTTACCATGGCCAAACACGACGAAGCCGGCTTGGCTTAGGATGCATGACTGCGTGGGGACAAAAAAAAACGAGGGGCGTTGTTAACGGTAAGGGTGATGTCAAGTGAGACAGCGTATACTTCAGACGACAGCTGTAAATTGATTACGGTATTTCCAGGCGAACTCTAGAATCTTGCGTCATCTGGTCCGCCAGGTCGGTTATCTCACATATCAGCACTTGGTCTATGCATGACACTCGTCCCCATTGTTCGCCGGCTGTATTTCGCGATTACAAGTGCGCTGAATCGTCGGTACCTTTGCTCGCATGGGTTGAAATCGGCCCTTCTAATTCACTTCTTAGTAAACGGCTTCTGCTCTTAAAGGCCAATGCTGCCGTTGTATATGGAGACTGAAATCGAACAATCACGAAGCATCAACGAAGAAGGACCAATTGAAGCTGACAAGGCAGAAAAACAAAGACAACGACGATCAAATGCACTCGACAGATGTAAGAAGCGCAATCAGGTTTCATTATTGGTTAGCTCTGCACCGGTAAGGGCATAACTAAAGGTATTGTATGGCGGGCACTCCAGGCGACTCGAGCGTGGCTGCTTCAGCTTCCCTGTAGACACCGCATAGTTCTATCGCAGATGGGACATGGTGATGTCATGCACTTGCATCGGAACCAGGGACAGCTTTTGTCAACAGAAACGCAGTCGTACATAGTGTATTTGGGGATCATGTCCAAGTGCGACCGTCTTTAGATTTGCAAGCAAGAGCCACAGATGGGTTCGTTTAGAGGAAGTAGTCCGGAGTCCTTCGTGATACCATAGGCTCGCCCGCTCGTGGGCAAGGATCGAACTGCAAGCTAGAGTAGGAGTTAGAGAGTGGTCGTATATGACGAACCGACAGACACTTACAAGGTGTATTTCAGGTGCTCGTCAATCTCCATGATTGCGGCCTGGTTACCGCATCTGTAACAGTAGTTTGGTGCTGTCACATGTAAGCCGTTGAAGCCATCAAATTGGAGCAGAGCGTCATACCTGAGAATATAGTCACAACGTTCCTATCTTGCGACCAGTTGTATCCTTCCATGACAAGCTGATGAGCACGTGCCACGAGCGTCAGGCCGTTGTTGTGATTGAATGCCTCCGAGATGTCCTGTCCAAAAGTGTATCCGGCACCACGAGGTGATATTCCCCAACCGCACCTGTCGTCTGGGTCGGACCAAAGCAAATCGCACATTGGGCCCTCGTGAGGCACCTCTTGTATACGGTCAAGCGCCCTGATGTTGTCGAGCGTGTCGATACTGGGAGAGAGACCGCCATGGAGACAGAAGATCTGGTTGTCGATCAAGGCGGTGAGGGGCAGGTAGTCAAACAAGTCTGTAAAGTATTTCCAAACATTGGCATTGCCGTACTTGCGGAGGCACTCGTCGTAGAAGCCGTATACTTGGGTAATTTGACGAGATTCGTGGTTACCACGGAGGATGGTGATACGCTGGGGGTATCGAATCTTGAGTGCGACCAAGAGAGTCACAGTCTCGACGGAAAAGTAGCCACGGTCGACGTAGTCGCCTGGAGAAATCAGCATACAGCCAGTGCGCGTGAGGCAGCGGACGCACCCATGAAGAGATAGTTCGTGTCTGGGTTGGGACCACCAATCTTGAAAAGTTCCATCAGGTCATGGAACTGACCATGTATGTCACCGCATACTGTGACGGGGCATTTCTGTACAATGGTGAGTAGATAAGGGGGTGGCAGCAGAGAATGGCACCTACAACTGGCTGCACGTTCGACTCATCCTGGAGTACTTCGCGGGCCTGTGGTACAACCGATGTCAGAAGACGCAACCTTTTACAATTTTTCAGCGCGAGCGAGCAGCGCATACCTTGTCGCATAGTCTCTGCACGTCGCTCTCTGCCAACTGCTTGCAGTTCATAAGGCTCTCAATCCAGCCATCGAGGGTGGGAATTGTGGTCGGCTCAGACGTGGGGGCAGACGACAGCTGCATGGGCTCGGGCATCTTGACGTCTTCCATGTTGGTATCCATGATTGCGGGGCGGCGGGTTTGGTGTAGGTGGGGTGGTCGGGTGTTGTGGTGTAGAGCTGTCGAGGGGTTCTTCCCTTTCAAACTCGACCAATGACGTGCGGCAGATGCAAGTACGGGCGATAGAGCGTGTGGACTGGTAGGGTGTGGGAAAGGGAGTTCAAGGGGTTTGTGGGGTGTGCAGGCAAGTATCAGGCGTGGCAACAGGGTTTGAACACAGGAATACAGGGTGAATCAACTCTACGCACGCACTCTATCCACGCAAGGCGGGCGGCGCTGGAACATGGTTTCTCCAGGCCCCGATTGATTCGACAGCATGTCACGTGAATGTCACTAGCGCGAACTACAGTTCGCGCTACTGCCGGCCAGCTCTGCCCAGCATCCGCGACCTCGTCCTTTCTCCACTCTACCACCCCAGTGTCACCGTTGCACATCGTCGCCTCCCAACGCGATCGGCAACAGCGACAATGTCCAACAAGCGCTCATATAGCGCTTTCCTCTCCATCACCCCCGCAGACGGGCTGCACTCCGCTCATGGCTTCAACACTTCCCAGCCGCATGTAAGTCGTTGCAGCTGTGCACAATGCTTGATTCACAGTGATAGCAGGCGCAACAGACAATGACCCCCTCGACTTCCTCCTTTCGTATGCCGGGCGCTTGGCCCGAGGAACTCTCAATCGCAGAAAAAGTCGCGCCCGAACCTGCGCCAACCTCTGTCCTCACAATCATCGGCAAACTCGTAGCATCAGTGAATGTCGCAAACCTGCTTAATATACCAAGGCGCATCGCAAACCGATTTCTGCACCAGCGAAAAATCAAGGCAATCTCCATCATCAGCTCTTCTGGCTCCAACAAGAGACGCTTCGTCGCTGCCGGGTATGGGGACGATGAAGCCGAGACACCATCACCTTCAGTACGCGTGCGTGCGCATCAGGCGCGTCGCCAGAATGAACGTCAAAAGTACGCATCTCTCGCACAGCCAGAATTCCGGAAACACACAGCCAGTACCGAAGAAAATCGCGAACCCGCCGCACCCATTCAGTCCACGTTACAAACGCGAGACGCGCATATCAGCTCAGGCTTTGAGGCACGCCCATTTGGCCACGAGCCCGAACCCGAACTCGAACCCAATGACGAAGAAGACGGCGACATCAGCATAGATTTCTCTTTTGACGATATACTCACGTCAACTCCACCCCGCAATGCGCAAACAGGCTCGCCTGTGCATGTGGCGTGGAATAGCCCGCAGATTCGTTTGCCCGCTAGCCGCATCTCCCCTGTTCGGCCTACGCAGCCCGTATTGTCATCCTGGTCATCACGCGGCCCTCCACAGTTGCAATCGTCAGCCCACCAGATTTCCCAGAAACCAGCCCCATCCCTCTTCAAGAGACATGTGGAAACAGCTCAGAACCCACAACGCACCGGACCCCGCGCAACCAAACTTCCCACTATCACACCTCTGCGCCGTCAACTAGTCAAGATACAGTTCGGCGCAGAACACAGACGTCTTCAAGCCACTCGACAAACGGAACCTTCAACAATAAGATCCGCGGATCAAGGTTTTGCCGAGTCCGAACTAACTAAAATCACCCCCACCCCGGCTGTTGATCAGGACCTCTCTTATTTGCCGGATGCTTCGTCATCACCGCAGCAAGTGGAGGCCCAACCCAAAATCGACGCATCGCCTAACCAACCCAACACCCAACCCGCTAGTACCGAATTCGAGTACACTAACGACCTCTCCTTTCTTGTCGACGCACCACCCAGACCATCTGTACGATGGGCAAAGCATGCAGGGACAAAGTCTTTCTATTGTGACGAAAAAGTCAGCGATATGCTTGATTCTACGCTAGAGATTATCAACTCCAGTCCCGTACGGGGAGTCTGGCACAACTTCCAGTGCAATCAACAGGTCACATCTGATACGGCTCCATCTTCACCTCAGTCTTCAGCGGCCGATAGTCCCAAGGTTGCAGCAATCGATCGTCATGCCAATAATAATGGTTTCCATGGCGTCCCTCCAGACACTTTTGACACTTCTGATGACTCGCTTGAAGAATCAGCACTATCCCTGGAGCTTGTCCAAGATCTCCACAACGATTTCAAGACCAAGCTCGCGTTGGCGCCACCACCACCTCCCCCACCCAAACCACTGATCACACCCTTATCTCCAGAAGAAATGAAGACCCTGTATACTGCGGCAGCAAATACCAGCAATGGACTCAAGGCCGACAAGTGGGTAATCGACCAGAAGCTCTACGCCCGGGATTTTGCGACATTGCTGCCCCAACTCTTCAATGGCGATCCTAGGGCTTGGTTGAATGACAACATCGTCAACGAATATCTTTCGATTCTGGTAGCCGCTAAGAAGAAGGAAGTGGGGTTCGAACACAAGCGCGGTGGACCAGCTCCTCCTGTCCATGCATTCTCATCGTTTTGGTACAGCACTGCGGATACATCACGTTGGTCCAACCGGTTTCAGCTCAAAGGCAAGCAGTATCTGGATGCACAACTTATTCTCTATCCCATCTGTGACCGGGGACATTGGCGTCTTCTGGCTGTTTATCCTCAGAAACGGTCCATCGAATACCTCGACTCGATGAGTCTCAGCGGCCAGAAGTACATTGAAAAGCTCGATGAATATCTGCAGAAAGAGCTTGGTGATTTGTACATTGCCGAGGAGTGGTCCAAGGGCACGATCCAGCGCAGCAGTCAGCAACTGAACGGCAGTGATTGCGGCGTCTTCACTCTTCTGAACGCCCTGACGCTCCTACGCGGCGACGATACAAAGCTCGTGCTCGCCACTAACGGCATGGACGACGCACGCAAGCGCATCGCAGCAACTTTGCTCGCCGGACGTCCCACAACGGAACTGGACTAAAGACGATGACACGGCTTGGTCGGACAGAAACGAATTTCATTTTTCACATTGCATAGCATTGCATGGTTTGGGAGCAAGGTAGGAAAAGTTTTTTCTTGCTTTAAGCATGGTGCATAGCGACGGTGTTTCGGTCGTTTTTTTTTCACGGGTAGGCGACACGGAACGAATTGATACCCACCCATACATACACACGATACCCACGGCCGACAGAGGCTTCTTCCGATCATTTTCTCTCCAACACGACCTCTCTTCTTGAATATCCGATGGGCACGTGGTAGGCTCGGTTGGAAATTGCAAATGAGGGGGGCACAAGCATTCATGTAGTATAGAACTTTTTTACGTTGCTTTTTTGCGTCTTCTTCTTCTTGTACAAATTGTTAGGACAGGGGATCGGAGAGATTGCATAGTTGAGTATAACTCAACCCACTCAGTATAGCAATCCACATGGAAATGAAAGCATTGCTTGAACGGCTAAATTATTTTATTCATTAGAGGCATATATACATACATTGCCCCACGCGTGTGCAGCTGATTACCTATATTCTACGCAGCAACCTTGACAGTGAGCTTGCCAAAATGCTTCTGGTCCCACATGTACTGGTATGCATCCTTAAGATCCTTGAGCTCAAACACCTTCTCATCGAGGATAGGGTGAATGTCATTCGCCTCAATGGCACGGCACATATCCTCCATTTGCAGTCGTGAGCCGACGAGGAGACCGCGGACGGTGCAAATGTTGTTCAAGCAGTCAAGGAACGTAGGCTGGTCCTTTCCGCCGCCGCCAATGAAGCCAATGATAGAGATAACACCGTCAATGGCAATGGCCTTGAGCGACTGTGCCATTGTGGTTGGGCCACCAACTTCGACTACGTGCTGGACACCCGCACCACCGGGGGTCAGCTTTGCGGCTTCCTCGCCCCAGTTTGGCGTCTCCTTGTAGTTGATGATGTGGTCTGCGCCATACTTCTTGAGAAGGTCGGCCTTGCTGGCGGAACTGGTGGTAGCAATGACGCTTGCGCCGGCTGCCTTTGCGAATTGCAGAGCGAAGATGCTGACGCCGCCGGTGCCCTGAGTGAGGACTGTGTCGCCGGGCTTGAGGGCGCGCGACTCGAGGCCGTAGAGGGCGTTCCAGGCTGTGAGAGCTGCGCAGGATAGGGTAGAGGCTTCGAGCATGTTGAGGTTGGAGGGTGCCTTGACGAGGCCTGCCTCGTCGAAGACGGCGTGCTCACGCAGAGTACCGTCTAGGGCGCCACCAAGACCGGTAGCGAGGGATTGCGCGTCGAGAGAGCCAGCGATGTGGCCCTGGTTGAAGAGAGTGACTACCTTGTCTATGCGAGTGTTAGTTTCTCGGTCTGAGCGGCACGGCTTTGGCGTAATCTATACATACCTCCGGGCTGGAAGCGTGTGACGTGCTTGCCAACAGCTTCGACAGTACCAGCACCGTCTGAGCCGGGGACAATGTTGTCCTTCATAGGGAAGGGGTATTTGCCCTTGGGGATGATGAGATCACGGTAGTTGAGAGACGCGGCATGGACTATTGCATGGTTAGCGTTGTTGCAAAATCCAATTGCTCATACTACGTACTCTTGACGAGGACATCTTTGTCGCCAATCTCGGGTACCTTGGCCTGCTCGTTAAACTTGAGAGACTCGAAGCCGTCCTTTCCTTGGACAGTCCATGCCTTGGTGGTTGATGGTGCCATGTTGATTGTGGGCAAGAGATTATTCAGGAATGTGCAGACTATGATTGAACGGTAGAAACTTTTGCCGTATGTGAGCTATGCTAGGACTTTTGGGGGACACCAGCAGCTTGATGCTGTTCCCCGCCATGCCGGTTCCTCGTCTCATATATGTACAAGGCTTGCCATGTGGGAGTGGGGTCCTCGAAGATCCGATAGTGACGCAACAACAGGATGGCTGCTAACTCAATCTAACGTCACAACTGGGACAACCTTGTAGAGTGCGGGTATCATGGGTGCTTAGCGTAGGAAACAAGTGGCGATTTGGCCGATCAAGAATCTCCAAGACCCGAATTGGTTGCTTCTGCCGTGTTGTACTGAGGCTTGGAAACCGCCGGCCCCAGCGAGTGAGGGGAAATCGAAAGACATCAGGGCCAGGCCGGTGTCAAGGCGGAGATGACTCGGACATGTGGACTACCTGCACATGTCTGGCCGTGCAACGGTGAGGGAGATACTCGACGTGCATTTGTAAGCCTCCCGGGTTTACGGCGTG